TGTGCGCGCGCGCGTGATGCGACTCATCTCGTGCATTGCATATCTAGCCTATGTGAATGCACGAGCGAATCTCTGTTATGAATGATAGAACGAATCCGCGATAGTTATTCTTGTATCGTAACTATTGCAATATTTTAATACGTGCTAAAGACAGATAGAGGATACTTATCATTAACAATTATGAATTATCGTCATTATTATCAGTATATGTGCCAAGCCACTGGTCAAAATCAATGATATTTCAGTTCCCAAAACGTTTGCTTTACACATGATTCTGTTCTTCGCGGATATAAGTCGTATGCAATACACCCGCGATTCTTTCCCACGAACGAATTATAATGGAAGGATTTCATATTTCGTTTCGGGATTATTCACTGCCATTATTGTTCTTTATTCTCGTATTATTGTCTACAATCTATCTTATTTATTGCATTATGTAAGATCGAAATGATGAAAGCTCGTGCGAACCCACATGAAACAGTACGCGAAAGCGAGAGGATCCGTTGCATGATAATCGTAACGGACTTTCATCCCGCTCGTTGCAAGAGTTCGCGTCGGTTTTCACGGATTTTGCATCTCATGCACTGTATCTAATATATTTTATTTGTATGTCACACTTATGATCAACGAAAGAGGAAGTTCTTGAGTGTTGAATGGAAAATGAGGATTTTTTAAATCCTAGTACGGTCATACTGCACGTTGGATTGCCGATTCATTCTATAGCACAGAAAGCTAGTATATATTTAGCATATCTTAGAAAAAAATCGTTACGATGATGCGTCGAACAATCTTTCGGATTCAGATTCGAAAATGGAAAGAACAGTTGTGCGACAAACGTGTTATATGTAATATTATATTGAAATGTAATTGTTAATATGACTCTAAATTATGGATTTTTGAACTCGATAAGTGATTAGTCATAATGTACATTTTTTAGTATATAAAGACTGACGTGCAATATGATCGGATTGCAAGACAAAGGACTGTTGAGATATAATGGACAAAGAAGAGTCTAATGAATTAGTCTCGTTAAGAAAACTTAATAAGTAATAATCTAATAATATTATACAAATTCGTCTCAATCAATCACGGTGACAATAGATCTTAAAAAAGTATTCCGTAAGATACATATGTTAAGTTATGTGAGGGAAAAAGGGAAAAAAGTAAAAAAATAACATAAGCGACTGTATTACAAGTCTACTACTATTGTTTACTACCTATTGCAATACCGAGCGTGTGATAAGCTCGCGAGGTGATATTTTACGATTGTAGCTGTTATAGCGTCCTCCGCGAATGAGTGTTCGACTTCATCGTTACACACACACACATATATATATATATATATATATA